GCCCCCGCCCGGCTGCCCCAGGCGCCCGGCCTGCCCCCTGCCGCTGGGTTTGTCACTTCTCTGCCCAGCTGCAGCCTAATGGAGTCCGGGCCGGGACGTCACAGGAAATTCCTATACTGCCCCCTACACCTACTTCCGCCGCCTGGAGCGGGGTATGGAGCCTATAGGGGCAGGGGGCAAAGAGGAGCGGGGCTTCACCCTGCCTGGGTAGCTCCAGAGGATGGAGGGAGGGCCCAGCCCCGGAGGGGGCTTTGCCATACACCTGTTCAGCTGCCTCCCACTCAGCCCTGTGTGCCCACCTAGCACACCCTCTGTATACAGACTATATACGTGTCCTGATCTGTAATACATAGGGACAGACGAGATGTTTGTACGTCTGTAGGCGAGTGTGTAAATATATGTGTATTCATAAGTGTATACACACCCCATCATAAAAATATGCTAAAGAAAAGTATGCCATGTGATCACCCAAAAGTTAAATGCCAGAGTTAAAATGCAATCCCTAATTTGGCCCCTTTTATGTCTATGCATTAGGAGATAATCTTTAATTACATGATCCCATAGTACGTTTTCCACAGAAGCCTACTGAAAACAGTGCATAGTGTAGACCAGTGGTCCCCAATGTGGTGCCCGCGGGTGCCATGGTGCCCGCTGGGCCATTTCTGTGTGCCCGCCGACTGATCAGGGCTGTCTCCACCCCTGGGCGCGTGGCACAGGGGCGGTGCCAGCCCCAGGCGCGCAGCACATGGGCAGCCCTGCCCCCAGGCGCATGGTACATGGGCTGTGCCGGCCCCGGGAGTGTGGCGTATGAGTGTCCCTGCTCCTGTGCACGTGGCACAGGAGCAGCACTGGCCCCAGGCGCGTGGCGCATGGGCACTTCCAGCTCCTGGGTGCACAGGAGCGGCACCGGCCCTGGGCATGCAGCGCATGGGCTGTTCCATTCCCGGGCGCGCGGCGTATGGGCGGCTTCGCCCCTGGGCGCACAGCACAGGAGTGGCGCCAGCCCTGGGCGCGTGGTGTATGGGCAGTTCCACTCTTGGGCATGCAGCACAGGAGTGGTGCCGGCCCCGGGAGTGTGGAGCATGGGTGGTGCCGGCACCGGGCATGCGGCATATGGGTGGACCCGCCCTGGGCATGTGTTTGTCCAGGTGCCCAGTGCATGAGTGGACCGGCGCCCGGTAGCCCCAAAAGGTTGGGGACCACTGATGTAGACAGTTTTCTTAATGAGCAGCTAATCGATATTTTGTTTTCTCATTGTTTAATAACATACAGTACTAATCAAACCCTGCTCTTAATACAGAATTACTAATTTTTCCTGGGCTTTGCTATGGAGATCATAGTGTTTACAGACTTCTATAAGTTTATTTTTATAATAGCTTTGTGAGGTGAGAGGATATTATCATCCCTATTTTACAGATGGGCTACTGAGACACTGAGAGAAAAATTTAAAATGTTTCCAATAAGCTTGAATGCCAAAGAGATACCTAGGAGGTGATTCTGCAGAATATATCACATTACATAGCATTTTGTGTTCAAAGCGCAGTGCCCAGGCCATTAACTTCAGTTGTAGCTGTGGCTGCTCAGCAGTTTTGCAAATCTGGTCCCAGATTCTCAAATTGAGCACACAGAAAATGAGGAAGATATGAGTAGTGATCACATCTGAAAAATGTAATTTCAAGTGAGTTGCCTAGAATTACATATGAACTCCTGGTAGAGGCAGGGATGGACCCCAATTCTCCAGGGTACATTCAGCTGCCTTAACCACAATACTGCCCCCTTCTTGTTCTGGAGTCACCTATCTCATTCACTCCATATCACAGGCACATCTTCATGTGCAGGTGATGGACTCCACCTTGGTGTGTCAGAGGATATCCTGGCGGGTACTATTAGACTTGGAGATCTGAATTATGATCAGGGGGACTGGATAGACCCTATTACATTTAGTAAGCACATGAGGTGCTCATCCTGTATTTCTCCTGTTGTGTACTCCAGGAGGTGGGGGCACCCTTGCCTCCTGCTTTTCTTGCTTTCCTTGAGCAGGTACTTCAGAAGGGTGCTCTTTGCCCATCCCTCACGCTGACCCTCTGAATCTTGTCATCAGGCCCTTGCTTTGTGAGCCACCCTGGTCACCCCTGACATGCCTCCTGAACTGGCAGCACTGGCACCATTCTACTGGTCCACTTCAAATCACACCTGGAAAAGGTCTGTATTCACTCATCCTTCATATTATACACTTCCTTCATCTTTGTGTTCCACCCCAACACCATGTGGCAGGACCTG